AAAGGTTACCTACTCTACTACTAGGGCATGTGTTCGGCATGCTACACCGACCGGCTTCAAACGAAAAGGGTTCTACGGCATTCAGCTGCCATGGGGTGGCCCAGATTGGAAGCAGACGAGGTTCAAGTAGTCCTCCAGTAGCGATGCTTCGACATCACCTTAGCTTCATGTTCCAAATCCTTGCGCCGACATCGTGCCCCATAGTTGTAAGTTGTGCAAGTCGAACTTCGACGACTTGGATGGCTTAAACTGATTTCGTATTCATGGCTCCCGCATGGCAGTCCCGAGGGTCTACTGTATGTGGTAGGTGTTCCGGTGTTCTACGGCGTCAGAGGTTCGAGTATAAAATGCCTAGCCACGCGTCTTTCGGGACATCGAAGGTATCTGTGACTTAGGCTTGATCTAGTACTTTACACTTTTACTACAGTACATCATAGCATGGCATGGACGGTCTAAGTAGTCCGGAAACGCCTGTTTCTCAAAACGCGCGAGGTCCCCATCGCGGAAACATGACTGCTTCTTAAGCGGCGCTATCGCTGTGCGTTCTAGCATGTTATAGTAACCACGGTGTATTGTACGGTATGTAGAGTAGGTATGAGTAGTACATCTCCAAGGTACGCCGGAGAATCTGACCTGATATCTGAAAAGGGACGATCTGCCAAAGACGAAAAGGAACGAAAAGGGTGCCAAACAGAGAGGACTAGATATCAGTAAGTGTTCGCGCATGACAGACCAGCGAAGGGACCGAGAAGGATATCCGAAAAGCGGAGATGCGCTCACAACAGATCCAAAACACCTCGAACCCTTCTGGCTTTCTTTGACAGCTGGACCCCTTCCTTTCGAACCCCTATGCTTTCTTTCCTGCTCCATGTCTGCTTTCGGCTTCCGAAACCCCGAGCACGGCCTTGACGGTCGATCCTGGAGAGCGAGCCGGGGCAGCAGTGACCCCAGGACTCCCAGTCCACCTCCAGTGGCACAATGTCACCTGAGACTGGGCTTTTGTCGGGGGAAGCTGCCATAAGCTACCAGACCTAGGGAAGCAAAAACCCCGTTTATGGATATGGCTCTGACTGTCGAGCCAGAACCCAGGAGGTGCTGAGGTTTTGGGTGGGTTGTCTGCTTCCCCTCAGCGATCCCAGCAGACCTTAAAAGCCTTCACATGAAGTTGTGGCCACTCGGCGGCCTTCGGCCCTTTCTGTGCCGAAGTCTGTCCTCATCCGATTCTCAAGCTAGAAACCCGCATGCCCCCGCTCTGAAGCGGAAGTTGGCAAGGCACGCATCCCGGGATTCTTGGCGCGGATCATCCGCGGCACGGAGCCCTGGGACCATCTTTTCTGGGAAGTGAAACACGGCCTGAAGCCTCAGTCCTGCTTGGAGGTTCATGGGTAGTCATACGAAGGGATCGATAAGAGGGTTTTATAAGGGCTCTACAAGGGGTCCTACATGGGGTCTATAGGGTCATATTTGGAGGTTCAGTGGTAGTTATAAGTAGGGCTATAAGTAGGGTAACTATAATTATAACCCATATTAGGGGACTTATAACCCCACTTATAACTACCCATGAACCTCCAAGTGGATACTACAGACTGCAGCCATGATCAAAAACCACGAGGCTGTTCATTGACCGTTTGAAACACAGCCTTCGGGTTTTTTCCCTCCTCTCGCATGGCAGAGAACAAAGCTCACAGGCGAGGTTGACATAGGAAGCCAGGCGAGGATCCGTGTGTGCGCAGTCGGTGTGACAACATGATAGCTGCCGATGCCTGGTTTAGGGTTTTAGGGTTTAGGGCGCAAAGTTCAGAATCCTGCAGCAAAAGCCTGGATCTCAAGCAGCAATCCTCAGAGCACCCATCCCAGCGTTGCAAGCATAAGTTCCCTGGATGCCAGACCCGTTTTGGCATCCCTACATCACAGACACGGCCTGTTCATTGGCCCAGATGATGATGGCAATCCTCTTTCCGGGGGCCGTGCCTGCAGCAGAGGGGCCGAGCTCTGGTTCAAGCGGGCTTGGGTCAGCCTTTCAGACATCAACCCATGACATCCGACGTCCCGTAGCTTCTGCGATCGCGTTGAGGCTCATTGGCTTCAAGAGATCATGACAGACTCAGGGTCATGGACGATGTGACACTCTGCATTTAGTAACTATTATTTGCCGCTACTTTCCGACCAGACCTGCGCCCTCGGGCGGAACAGCATGCTTGAAAAGGTTGTTAAAGGGCTCGTCGAAAGCAAAGATGTCACCATTCTCCTGCGCGGGCAAGGAGAAGTCTGCGGCACTCTGCATGACTGAGATTTCCTCTCGTTTAGGGTACCACACATAATGCCCAAGACATAATAAGCTGCTTTCAAACCTGTAACAAAAGACCCGCAACAAGACCGCACTGCCCTTATAACGAGCCATTCCTGAGGCATTCCGAAATCTCTCCAACCCGATGGTTCTGAACGGTCGCAATCAGCCTCACACTGCGACTTCAGCCCAAGACATGGGTCCATGGGAGCTACGAGCACCAGCACTGCAAATGCGCTTGTTGTTGATATCCTTTTGACATGCGTCCCGGGGACATGACAAGATGCACAACGACGACAAAGGAAGTGGCATCAATGAGCACGGCAATCGCAGAATGCAACTAATTAGTATGCAAGCGCAGCATCAAGGGCGTGTATCAATCTAATTAATACAATAAGCCGGCGTCGAGTCTGATTGGATCCGGGGGCGAGGTTTCAGTAGGGTTCAGCGGTGGGTTGACGCAACAAGTATACTGCCCGTTTTGACTGTCGCAGAATTTAAAGCCGTAAGGCCCACAACCAACTGAAACCGTTCACAAGTATTCAAAAGTGTTCACTCACTCACCAACCTACGAATGCAGCGAAAACAGTCCTCACGGTCACCAGCCTACTCGTCTTTAGGTTTGTGCGTGGGCTTCCTCCGGGCAGCATCCCAGCCAACTTACGAAGCCCCTCCTGGACGACGCTGTGCTCCTCTTTGGTCACAGGGTTCTGGAAAGTGAAGTGCCGCGCTTGCCCGAGACTTATCCCCATGGTCACCTGGAGCTTCATAAGCCGCAAGGGGGTTTCGGGTTTAGGGTGCAAATAGATATTAAGGTCTTCTTGCCTCATGTGGCCAGGACTAGGTTGTTTTGCTTCAGGGCTCTTTTGGTCTGCTGACTATGTTTAGGCGTTAGGGCTCAGGTTCCGGACTCTGTCGCGACGGCACGCCCCGAAAATCCAGACCTGGCACAGGCTTACTTCAAGAACAAACGGACCGCTTAGGAGTCAACCTTTACGTAGACACTTGAGGACCAGGACCACGATTTTGGGATCCGAATCCCAGTGCGTCTGATGAAGACAGCAATAGGCACCCATAACACCTCGCAAGCCTAAGGACTTCCACAGATGAGGCATTCCGGAATCCCCTTGGTAGTCCGTACACTGCGAGATCTGGGATCCTTACGTCGTATGTTTGGGTCCTTCTCGTGCCCTGGGTTGATCAAGTGACTCCCTGCAGAGACGCTAAGATTCCAGCTCGGCAAGGTTTAGGCTTCAAAGAGTGACTTTAAGGCTGTGAGCTGGGTTGAAGGCTCCTGCCTTCTCCTTTCCAACTTCATATCAGAGATGTGCTGAATTTTTACATGCTGTGAACATCGTGCTTAATTTGCTCTGCCCTCCAGATATACGAGAGAGAGAGGTCACAAACTGAGACAAACCCGAAACGTGGGGTAATAGCCCTGTCTTGCTTGTTCTGCTTTCGCTCTTGAATGCTCTCTCCCTACAATTCCTCCCCACTCTTGCCCCCATATGGGGGTTTCCGAAAATAGGGGACCCTAATATAGTACCCTAAATAATAGGAGCCTTATTATAAGGACCCCAAAATAAGGTACCCCTAATTTCGGAAACTCCCATATTGCTGGTTCTGATCGGATTCCGGGCTTAGCGCATCCCACACCACGCTCAACATCACTTTAGCAAGCTTCGACTGGTTCTAGCGACTAGTCTAGCGATAGCAAGTGTATCATAGTGCACCTGCCCTTGCATTCGTCTCAACCGATATACAACCTGTGTGATCTCTCTCCCCTTCCTCAAAACCATCTTCTGGACACGACAGCTTCGCTGACCTGTACGACTTGCAATCCGGAGTCCCGGAACCAAGCTGAGCAGGCTCAGCGAGCTTCAAGGGCCCTAGATGGTAAATGACATCCTGGCTCCTGGTAAACATGAAGGCATATTATACGCGTTCAGCCAAGACTCCAGAAGGATCAAAAATGTGTCGAAGAATGCTTGTCAGGCAACTTTGCGGATGCCCTCGCGGCCAGCATTCTACCCCGAAAAGCGGAAAGCTAAGATGCAGCCACCCTGGCCAGTGGAGGCAAGACCTCTGCCAAGGCGACATCGCTGGTCACAAATGCGACGGCTACAGCCACCCGGCCCAGGATCGCCCAATGGAGATTCTTTGGTAGTTTGTTCAAGCTGCCAGACCCTGCAAGGCCCTACAAATTCCTGAAAGACTAAAGGACAGAGAGGTGCCAAATCTTCCATCTCGGGCTCACAAAGACGCTGTCGCCAGCATAGCGCAGGCAAGAAGACTCACGCCGGCCACGCGGAAGCCCCAAATCTGGGCTCGGTTTCGGCATGCAAGCATGTCAGAGGCGTTGATGAGCGAGGCGCTAAGAAAGGGATTCGTGGAGAGGGAGTCTGGGGAATGGCTTAAGCCATGGTAAGCGACGACGGTACAAGCGACGCAAAGCGCCAGATAAGTCTCGGTACATAGAGCGGCTCATTGTCACTGCTGGGGCTTCTTGCAGTGGCTCATGGGAATGAGACGACCTGGACGAGATCCGGGAAGCCAACCAGGGAGGCCGAACCAGATCAATGACTCGGCGCACCAATCCCAATAGAAAGTTAAAGTCCCACAGCTCATGGCCATCAACACCGCGACCAGGGCATAGAGCCTGCGCACCGAGGCAGTGACCTGGCTTCCATACCTTGGGAAGCAGTTTTGCATATACAAGGTCTGGACACCTTGGATGTTGAGGCACATGCCGTGAAGCAGCCTCGCCGCACACAGCAAGGTCATGCTGAGCATGGAGACATAAGGCGCTGCAATGGAGGCCGCGGGCAGAAACAGCATCGTAACACCGAACAGGAGAAGCACCTGCTTCAGAATATCAAGCATCTGCATCAAAGGATGCAGTGCGACTGCTCCGAGCAGCCAACCAACGAAAACGAAGGTTTCACTGAGTTTCAATTGAATTTCGCTCAACTGCACGGCAGGGTCCGCAGCTATCTTCCGGTCGATCAGAACTGGCAGAGCTTGCCAGGGAGCTTGAAAGACGCCGAAAGGACTCCAGCGCCCAAGTAAACCCTCAAAGCCAAGGTCCTGTTGGTCATCGGGTCGAGATTTTGGGCTTGCTCGGTGTTCTTCTCTGACTGAAGACCCCGACCGCTGCTTGTGGAAAGATCAGGAAGGAGAGCCAAGCAAAAGCCTTCAATCTTCCTGAGCACTGCAATTGCAGATGTCATCTTTCTGAGCCTTGTGCCCCTTGTTCCGTCGGCGCCGGCACGCGATGCCAAGGGCCCCACTGAAGGCGACGGCGGCTACCAAGGAGGCCATGGCAGGTTAGAATCCGTTCTGACGTGGAGCCAAGTCTTCTGGGGCATCCCGAGCGATCCGACAGAGGTCTGCCTAAATCTGAGCATCTCATTAAAGGGCCTGGCGTTGTCTGAAGTTCTGGACATCACACTATGGACTCGTCAGCTCACAAACACCCAACGAAATAGACACTGGAGGCCAGTGGGGGTGGGGGTGCACACAAAACGTGGTACTGTACGGTATTATAGCATACATAGCCTGTTAAACCATGCAATATCGCTTTGTACGATTCCAGACAGCATTGCGCTGTAGCACAACATGCATTTGTGCGTGTGTGTGTGTGGGGGGGGGGGGGTGCACAACATGTCTATGTATTGATACCCATGCTTCAATATGTCATGTATTATATACTCAGACACATGCACGGTCATTGGCAGTCGGAGAACAGAAATCTGCGATCTGTGAAGTTCCCGTTTCCGACTGACATGACACCTATGAAACATTCCCTACGAAGCCTCGGAAAGATAGTGCTGGCCACTGGCCGAAGTATCTCTGACAAACCAACAAGTGCCCTAAGGGCTTCAACAGTGTACTGTCTGGGCCAAGCTGCTGTAGCCCGTGGCGTGCGATCCTGGTAGTTGTCGTGGTGCATGGATTTCATGTCATCCTCGCCTCTGTACCTTACGGAGAACTGATGCAGAATGCAGTTTACAATTGAAACCTTAAACCCTTTTGCAACAGGCTTTCCACTCCAACTCCGGGCGAAGTGGAAACCCTAAACCCTAAAGATCCTAAAGCCTAAACTAGTTTACACATGGCTCCTGATGCTACGGTTGACGCTCTCACAAGTCGGACAAGCCAGGCCAGGTCTCACAGTGCGCGTCGACTCAACGAACTGGACGAGGCTTACGGCCGTCTAGGACCTCATTTACAAAGGCCTGCGCCGGGAAGTTGATGTGGCGATCATGCGTTGCATATGCAGCTTCATCATGAGCCCAGCATGACTCTCTCGAAAGCCAAAGGCACAAGTTCGCCCAGCAGTCGACCAACGTAAGATCGAAGAGGCCCAGGACATGCTTGACGACACGCACGAAAGCCTCTGGGAAATGGAAGCCCCCGGCGCTCAAAGGGCAGTCGGCATCGGAGTTTGGCTCGGGGTTTTTGGCGGAACCTTGGACCTCCGCTCATCTGTTTCTGCCACTGGTGCTACTTGGCACCACCCTCCTCCTTCACCTCCGCCTGCTGCCGCTGCAGCATTAAAGACGATGATGACGACTACGACAACGTCAAGCATCAGTTGCGAAAACTGCATGTTATGATTCCTCGCTAATCCTCGCTAACACCACGAACCTATGAGACTCCATACAACGGATACTCTATGGGGGTTTCCGAAAATCACCCTAAAAAGTAGGATCCTTATTATAAGGACCCCTATAAATAAGGTACCCCCTATTTTCGGAAACTCCCATATTTCAACGTCTTTCCAGGCTGGATGCTAAACCCTAAACCCTAAACCCTAAAAGCTGTCGACTGCGCATGCCACGCCTGCGACTCGGACAGCGCCTCGCCGTAGATGACCTTGTGCTTCCTGCTCCTCGTTTCGAATCGCTCGACGGTTTAGGGTTTAGGGTCTACGGATGGGTATTCCAGGCCCGGGATAGTTCCGGAGATGGACGTGCGCTCAAGGCTCTACAGTACCCTGATTACATCATATGGGGGTTTCCGAAAATAGGGGACCCTAATATAGTACCCTAAATAGTAGGATCCTTATTATAAGGACCCCCAAAGAAGGTTGGAAACTCCCATAGTGTGCCCCGATGATCCCTGACCCTGGCCTGTGAAACCCGAGCGCGTCGCCGCTGCGCTTGTAGCTCGCCTCCTCTTGGAGGTTCATGGGTACTTATAAGTAGGGTTATAAGTAGGGTAAGTATAATTATAACCCCTATTAGGGGACTTATAACCCCACGTATAACCACCCATGAACCTCCAAGCTTACGTTGTGAGGCGTGGTTTCCAGTCTCACGCTCGCACAAGGCAGGCACGGAGTCAGGGCTCAGGTCCAACTGGCGCTGGCATAGCCTACCCCGAACCTCCCGGGTACCTACAATATAGGGTACTGGAGCCCCTAGGGCCCTATATAGTAGGTACCTGGAGGCTTAGGGTTACTACCGTGAGATGGGAGAGAAGCAGGCTTGTGCTTCATGGAGACA